AAGAAATTCTGCAAGCGGTTGACCCGCCTTACTGGTGGACTCCCGAGGGATGTAGAAACAATCCAGTTATTTTACTAACTTTGCAGAAACAGCCATAAAAAAACTTACGTGATGGAATGGAGCTGTTTTAATTGGTGTCGAAATGATCAGAAAAGGCCACAAAAGGGTCGACAAAATGTGAAGTCTGTGAAGGATATAAACGGTTTTCTATTGACCATCGTTGACCAAGACGCTAAAAAACCCCCGCATCTCACAGGTTTGAAGGATATTGAGATATTCCACGGCATACCACGAAACAGAGCATTGCATAACTATTTCATACCATGCCATAGGAAAGCACAATCAATGCGACATACGTTACGCGCGGCGCATGACTGGAAGGTTGGATGTAATACCGTCGAATATACGACTTTCCTGTTTTCTGATTGGCTGTAATTTCTATGGCATGGTATAGATCGTGCTAGCTCTCTGCTTTACCAACTTACTGATTTTGTGGAGTCTTAAAGAAACTGAGACGAAAATTCGCAAGCATAATATCGTTTGCGCCTGAACAAAAGGCACAAACGCTAATGAGTAATATCCGCTTGCAAATGCGTAAATGTGGACGGGACGCAAGGTTTCAGCGTAGCCCCTACTAGACAGATTTGAAACAGTTTGTTGAGGAAGTGAAAGTCCATGACGTTTCAGTGTCAGACCAAACTGGTTTGGGATGGTTTTATCACTGTCTGATTTATCACTGAAATGTCAATTCGAAAATCATATTGGCTTATTTGAGGAGGAAATAACATTGATTTCGAGTCATTTTTCTCGAATGTAAATACTACAGTGGAACCCGCCTTACGACCACTCCGTTAATACGACCACCTCGTTAATACGACCACCTCGTTATTACGACCACCTCGTTATTACGGCCACTTTATTCTGGCCCAAGAATGGAATCTACGCTTTAGAACAAAGAATTGAAAAGGAACAAAATCGGCAATTGAAACACCGTTGTAAACAAAGCAAGTAACCTTCACTTACATTTATATCAGGTGCACTTTCAGCTTGCATTACAAGACTGTTATCTATACAGGCCCTGTGCCAATAAAATATAAAAACTTGAAAATTATATGTTAAAAAGATAAAATACCACCCTAGTGT